AGAGCTTTGGCTCTGGCCTTCCTATGGAGTGCTAGTCCCCACGACTGTCACATGGAGGGCTGGGTCAATTTTCCCTTCAAATGCCACGTGCTCAGAAATGTCTCCCCTATTTGCCTTAGGTAGCCAGCCCCAACACCACCACCACTCTTTAACCCACTGTCCTATCTGTTTCCTTTCAGGGCCCTTACTGCTCTTTGAGCTTACCTATTTCTGTGAACACAGTGTCCCCTACTTGGATATAACCACAAGGAGGGCAGAAACGTACACTGTTATACACAGCACTAGCCAGCACCTGGCACATAGTAGGTGTAGTGGGTTGAATGGTGGCCCCCAAAATGATGTGTCCAGGTCCTAGAACTTGTGACTGTGGGCTCCCTGCTGAGCAGGGAGCCTGCTTCTCCCTCTCCCTCTGCCTGCCATTCCCTCTGCTTGTGCTCTCTCTGTCAAATAAATAAATAAAATCTTAAAAAAAAAAAAAAACTTGTGACTGTGACCTCTTTTGGTAAAAGGGTCTTTGCTGATATATTTAGGGGTTTCAAGATGAGATCATCCTGGATCCTGTCATGGCCCTAAATCCAAAGACAAGTGCCCCTAGAAAAGAAAGAAGGGGCGCCTGGTAGCTCAGTTAACTGTCTGCCCTTGGCATGGGTCATGATCCTGGGGTCCCGGGATCAAGCCCCGTGTCAGGCTCCCTGATCAAGGGGGAGCCTGCTTCTCCCTCTCTCTCTGCCCCTCCCCCCAGCTCATGTTCTCTTTCAAGTAAATAAAATCTTAAAAAAGAAAAAAGAAAAAGAAGAAGAAGAGAAGACACACACAGAGAAGGAAGGGAAGGCCATGTGAGGGCACAGGTGGAGACTGGAGGGATGTAGCCCCGAGCTACGGGATGCCTACAGCCACCGGAAGCTCAATGAGATAATGCGGCATTCTTCACTAGAGGCTTCAGAGGAAGCATGGCCTTGCCACCATCTTGATTTCCAACTTCTAGCCTCCATAACTGTGAAGGAATAAATGTGTGTTGTTTTAAGCCACCAGCTGTGTCCCATGGATGCTGTATTATAAGCCTATATCTTCCAACATTTTGAAATTCACTTTTATTTTGGATCTTATTAATATGGACCCCATCATAGTTTCTGTCTTCTTTTAAAAACAAAAATGGTGGGGCGCCTGGGTGGCTCAGTCGTTAAGCGTCTGCCTTCAGCTCAGGTCATGATCCCAGGGTCCTGGGATCGAGCCCCGCGTCGGGCTCCCTGCTCAGCGGGAAGCCTGCTTCTCCCTCTCCCACTCCCCCTGCTTGTGTTCCCTCTCTTGCTGTCTCTCTGTCAAATAAATAAATTTTTAAAAATAAATTAATTAAAAAAATAATAAAAACAAAAATGTTGATAGGAATTCAAAATAAATCATTTTTTAAAATCATACAACACCCAGGAGTGGTGGGTGGCTCAGTCGGGAAAGCTCACGACTCCCGATCTCGGGGTTGTGAGTTCAAGTCCCATGTTGGGTGTAGAGATTACGTAAAAAAAAAATAATAATAAAATCTTTAAAAAAAGTTTGGAATCATTTGAACAACTGCTCTTCCCTCACTCTTTTGATCAAACTGTCCCGTCTTTCCTCCTTATTTAGAAAAGGGTTTTACCAATCATTCCTCTGTTCTGAACTTTTTTTTTTTTTTAAGATTTATTTACTTCAGAGAGAGAGAGGACGGGGTAGGGACAGAGAGAGAGCATGAGAGAGAAACCCAAGCAGACTCCACACTGAACGAAGAGCCCAAAGTGGGGCTCAAACCCACGACCCTGAGATCATGAAGCCAAAACTAATTAGAATTCGAGGCTTAACCAGCTGCACCACCCAGGCGCCCCCTGAACATCTTAAGAACAAAATAAAATCCAAAAAACAATTATATAAATACACAAATGTCCATAGCATTTTATTATACCAGAAACTGGTTTCTATAATAATCTTAGAAAATTTTTCTTCCGAAGTGATTGTCAGAAATCTATCAGCACGTTGGAAAGATTTACCTCCGGGCAATTCTAAAGCATTCAGATAGGCTTAAACATTCTTTTTCATGACTAGAAAAGAAAATCTTGGATTTTAAGGAACATAAAGCTTGAGCATTTAAGTTCTGTGCATGCACCATATAATGAGACAATCACTCAAATGACAGACAATTTGTAATTGTAAAAGCAAGGTTTGGGAATCATGCCACCCAAGACTCAAATTCTACCTCAACTGTGCCCTAAAGCAAGTTAACTGCTGAGCTTTGTTTCCTCATCTGTAAAATTGCAACTTTTTACCTAGTTGTCAGATAGATAAGCGATAGTACACGAAAACCATACAAGGCACAGAGATGTTCAATCAACTGTAGCAATCACCATAAAACCAATGTCCTGGAGCCACTAAAAAATGTAGACAAGGAGAAAAAACTAGGTATTTAAATAGAACGTGTTTAAAAAGCTAATACACAAAACAAATAAGACTAAAAAGGTGAAATCTACATATACCCTCAAAGCAAACAAACTCTGTTAACTGGCTAAAAGAAAGATGACACTAAGGTCTAGAGTTGCCAGGCTGCCTTCCAACCAACCAAATGGTCTGCAGGAGTGGAAAGAGGAATGAGAGGAATAATATTTTCAAATGGTTCTGCTTCAAATGCAGACTCAGTGGAGCACATCTCAAATTCATGAAAGGGAAGCACAGAAAGAAGCTAAGCAGCAATTCAAGTGCTTCCAACTTCTTCCCCTAAAGTGACAGTGAACTCCAGAGATTCCTCCCACCTCCAGGAGGAATTCTTTATTGGCACAAATATAACTCTACTCCAGTCAATACTATCACACATCCAGCACCTATTGGTTCAAAAACTCTGCTAAGATCACAGAAACAGACAAGATGCAGTCTCTGCCAACACACTGAAAGAAAGCAGGAAAGAGAAACCAAAGTCTACATGTTAAACAATAGTGTATAATAAGTGTACAGCAGTACATACTGTAACACCTTTTCCCTCACCCTCACCAATCTAAAATGTCAGTGTAATCCCTCCTGCCTCCAACAGGAATGGCTTCCCATTACTAAAAGATAAAGATCAAAACTAATAGTTTGGTCTACAAAGCACAGCATCATCTGTTTCATACCTACCTCCCTAGCACCATCTAATCTCTGCACACCACTGCCTAAGCAGGTTTTTCTCAGTGCTTCTATCTTGTCATTCCCTCTGGCCACAGGACCTTTATATGTGCTGTCCTTTCACATACAACACTCTTCGCTTCTCTCTTTGCCTACAAAAAGTCACTTTACCCTTCAAAACTTGTTTCAATTTTCACTTGCAAAGGAAAACATTTCTTTCCCTTAAGCAGTATAGCATGATTTAAGGGTACCAGTTCTGGAGTTCTAAATCCTAGTTCTGCCACTTACTAATTCCATAGCTTTGAGCAGATTATACAACACTTTGTACCTCAGTTTCTTCATCTATAAATGGGGATTATATAGTTATTATAAGGATTTAATAAATTAATTCAAGTAAAGCACCAGAACAGTATCTATGACACAGAGCTCAAAATCTTGACTTGGTCAGATCCCTCCATTTTATTTTCTTATAGCACCAAGACCTCTCCCCCAATAGCATTTTACACCTACTTGTCTCTCCCTAATAGACTAAAATGTCTAAGAGAGCAGAAACTATATTTTTCCCTATCAATGGAACACAGGAAATAATCCAATAAAGATTTGTTGAATAAAAAAGTAGCTGAAAGGAAGAAGCTGAGGCCCAGCAAAGTGACTTGTCTAATATGCAAAACTTCATCTGTATCTCCAAAGCCCATGCCTTTCCCCCACACCATGATGCTTCCTACATAAATATGTTAAGAGTCTTGGCAACTGCAACTGATGTGACCAACAAATGATTACAGAACACAGAGAGCATTTAAAAACAATAAATTTTGTGGCAACACAAAGAACACTGTATTTTGAGAGTGGCATTCCAAAGTTGACCCTAAGCTAATACAGGTGCAGGCTTACTTCCTTTTCCAGCACCAGTTCCCACACTGCTCACCTGGGCCTCACTTCCCTCTTTAAAAGAGTTGGATGGGCCACATCATCTCTAAAGTGTCTTCCAATTCTAGAGTTCAATGACAATAAATCACATAATGTGACTATTTTTTAAAGATTTTTTTTTAAGTTTAATAAGCAGACTGAACCAGATGACAGGTGGTTTTGAGGGAGACTTTCATTTTAAAAGAATGTGTTCAAATGACTTAATAAACCCTATTAATAAAGTAAGGCTGTCTTTGCTCAGAAACAGCGAGAGACTCCATTTTCAAGAGAAAGTGTGAACAGCCACCCACAAACACTCCAACACTGAGCCAAGGCTGCCACCAGGAAACGCTGGGACATACAGAACAGTGGCAAAATGTGTTTAGAACAGTACAAAAATCCGGCTAACCACTACACAAAAAAGAAAAATAAATTCACAGGATGCATATACAATATACCGCGATGTACTACAATTAAAATACGATCTCAACTCAAACCTAAAAGGTAGCAGCAATCCTGGCATCGAGGATACTCTAAAAGTTGAGATAAACTCACAACCCTAACTCTACTTCAGCAGCAATTCAGTGTCCCTTCAAATTTGGAAAGAGGCAAGCGAAAGGGAAACTGTAAGGACCCTTAAGAATTCACCCTGGGAAGCTCGAGAGCAAGCCAAAGCCGAGAGGCACGAGAACGGGTGCACGGGGAACGCACGTATATTACAGCCAGATGGCTGTCAGCCGCTCCCCGCGCAGGCGAGCCGAAAGCGCATGCCTCCCGGCTCGGTGGTCCCCTCTGCCCTCCACGAGCCTCGGAGTAAGGGCTGCGGAGCGACGAGGGACGCGGACTGCCGCCGAACCGGCCGCGGCGTCGCCTGGGGTACCGCGGGGCGCTCTCCGCCGCACGGGCCACCCCCCAGGCGGCGCGGGGCTGCGAGCCCTGCGAAGCCCAGGCCCGAGGCCCGGGTCGCTCCTCACCTTCAGGGTCCACAGCGCTGCGCTCCGCATCAGCTGCTGCGGCAATCGCCGCCCACGCCGTCTGGCCGCGACCAGCACCGCAGTCCACACCCAGAGGCCCGCCATTGCAGCCACTGCCGACTGGCGCTCTGCTGACCTCTCACCCCGCCGAAGGGGGTGGAGAAGGGTTGTTCCAGAGCTTCGGCCAATCACGCGCCGGGACCCGCGGCCCCGCCCCCTGCAGCGCAAGTTGAGAGGGCATCCGCGGCGGGCTGGGGGCTAGTGCGGGGCCCGAGGGGGGCGGGCTCGACCAGACCAGGGGGTGAGCGAGGAGGGGATGGCGCGCGTGAGCTCTGGCGGTAGTTGGTCCGCGCCTGCTTGGGGTAAACCTGGTCCTGTACCCAGCGTCCACCTAGCTCCCACCTAGCTCCCACCCAGCTCCCACCCAGCTCCCACCTAGCTCCCACCTAGCTCCCACCTAGCCGCCAGCTCGAGGCCAGACCACTCCGCGGCAGGTAGTCCCCTACGCTCCGGGGCCACCCCGCAGTACCGAGCGTCCCAAATTACAGACATGCGCCCGAACTATGTTCCTTTTCTTCTAAGGCATAAACTGCAAACACCAAGTCAAGATAAGGTTTTTGAAGGAGTGCAGTAACAGAGAAAACGCTCTAGGTCTAGAAATCAGAGGTCAGATCTCAAGTTCTACCTCTGCCTCCTATTATGTGCATGTCAGAGGAATTAGCCAAAACCAGGGTCAGTTTCTGTTGCTTGCTAGCAGGCACTATTATCAGTGCAACTACTAAGGGCCAGACCTTGCGCTAGATGTCTCAAATTCGGTCTCATTTAATCTTTACAAGAACCCTAAAGGCCCACACATTATTCCATCTTGAAAAACTGAATTTTGGGGCACCTGGGTGGCTCAGTCACTAAGCTTCTGCCTTCTACTCAAGTCATGATCCCAGGGTCCTGGGATCGAGCCCCGCATCGGGCTCCCTGCTCCGCGGGAAGCCTGCTTCTCCCTCTCCCACTCCCCCTGCTTGTGTTCCTTCTCTCGCTTTGTCTCTCTCTGTCAAATAAATAATATCTTTAAAAAAGAAAAACTGAATTTATAGAGAGGTAAAGTCATTTAGCTAGTAAATGGTGACCCTAGGGTTTGAACCCAGGTCTGGCTGTCTCCAAGGACTGGCCTTTTGCTTTGTTATATTACAAATTTGTTACCATATGCAAAAGAAACAGTATTATCCTCACCCAGGCCCTCCTCCTTACACAGCTCCAACAAATCAACATTTTGTCAATCTTGTTTCATCTGTTCCCCCTTTTTCATCTTTTGCTGGAGTATTTTAAAGCAAATCTCAGACATCAGTCATCCTGCCTACAAATAGGCCAGTATCAGGGCCTCTGATCTTAATTATTTTGATACTCCTTCAGAGTCACCTTGAGAGAGTTACAAAGCTAGGAATGACCTAGAGTATGTTACAGCATGGCAAATGCCTAGAGATACAAACAAAATATTCAGGGATATCAAAGAGGTGACATTCAGTGGAACTTTAAAATGTAAGTAGGAACTTTCATGACTGACAAAATAAAAAGGAGTATCAGTTTCACAGGATTTCTCATTGATGTATCTAGGCTGGAATCATTTCCTACCAAGAAATCTGCTTTTCTTTTTTTCTTTCTTTTTCTTCCTCCCGTTTTCACCTTTGGATCGGTTCTCCTTAGATCTGTCTGTTTTGTCTTATGGAAGTTCTTTTCATGAAAGGCATTTGTGGCAGAAACTACTTGTCCCCTATCTATTCTCCACTCATTCCTTTAATAAGAGAGTTCCTAAGTTTTAGCTGCATGCAGGCCACCCAGCCAAAGACTGCAATATCACCAGCCTCCTTTACAGAAGATGTGGCCACATGACTAAGGGCTGGCTTATGGAATGTAAGGGTTGAGCCCTTAAAGAGTAGAGGCACGCCCTCCATTTCCTCTACTCTCCTTCCTGAAATTACACATACTGGTGAATGCTGGAGCCGCCTTCTCGACTCCAAGACAGGAGCCCTCTGTTGAAGATGGCAGAACAAATGGTGGGAGGAGCCCAGGACCCTGACACTGCGGAGCCGTCTTACCAGCCTCCTGCTACTTAATGCATGGAGGGTTCTCTGACAGAGTTTTATCTTGTTTAAATCATTGTTATTTCTGCCTTTACTATAGCACCCAAAACTGTACCTTAACCAGCTCATAATTTAGTATCCAGAAGTGAGGTGCTGACATAATGAAACCTGAAATGAATGGTAATAACAGTGACAACCCCAAAATAGCAATCCAGAAGCTGAGAGCCGCTACCTCTCTGGCAAAATGGTTACTTTCAAACTTTTGGACAATCTGGCTATCACTATCACTGATAACACCCTTGTTCTTCCAACACAGTGTTTTCAAAAAACATGAGTGGCATTTGAAGCTGGACAGTTCTACCCTGTCTGAGCTGTGCCACACATTTGGGATGTTTATGGTCTCCAAAACCCACTACCTGTCTGAAATGTCTGAAAACAGCTGTTCCATATACTTTGTCCACTTTATCCATAGTGACAGTTACTCCAACTGGAATCAGTTACCACATCATGGCCACAAGCATATCTTTTACTCAGAATTTTGAAATTATCTTTACATCATTTCCCAGCTTCCAGAGTTCTAGCTCTTGTTTTTGATCCAATGTATCTTCTTACAGTTACCTGGCTGCTATACTGTTGTGCAGTGGGTATGGAGCAGAGAGAAGTCCCAGTTGTAAATTAGGGACTCATGAGCCACCATATGCACGAATAGTGAGCCTGCACTCCACCAAGAGACCCTGACTTTTGAGCTGTACATATTTGGCTCTCTTTAAGAGTATGTGCAAACTAGGTATGCTGGCTTGGAAACTATGTTTCCCCAAATCCTCTTCCCTCTGTGGTTCCTGGTTAGAGTTAACCAAAAGAACTTGTAAGATACCTAGAAGGGAGGAGTAAAGTGGTAGCCATCTCTCTCTGAAGATTATTAACATAAGATAAGTAACATAGTTTCCTAGAAAGTCTCAGTTTGTCCTTAGACACAACCCTGCATCCTGTTTGTTTTTCCCACCTGCTGGCCCTGCCAACCATCAGCAACCCCTGGTACACCCCTGGATGCTTGACTACAGACCCACAGATGGGTAACTATCCAGAAGTGACTGCTTCTTCTTTTTTTTTTCTAAAGACTATTTGAGAGAGAGAGCAGAGGGAGGGCCAGAGGGAGAGGCAGAGAATTTCAAGACTCTGCACTAAGGAAGGAGCCTGAGGAGGGGCTTGATCTCACAAACCCGAGATCATGATCTGAGCCAAAACCAAGAGTTGGATGCCTAACAGACTGGCCCACCTAGGCACCCCCAGAGGTAACTGCTTCATATGGACCCCTCCACAACATCCTTCTCATTCCCATTTGGCAACCAGACATGTTTGGCTTCTCAGCTATCCCTCAAACTCCAACTTGTCTACCTTGCCAATGCATCAGGCAGACTATTTTAATCTCTCTTTCTCTGATCCTCTGAAAGGAGCCTATAGCCATTGACTAATGTAAGAATACACCAAGGAAAGAAAAATAACCAGGGTTTTCAGGAATACTGGCTCTGAACTGATACTAATTCCTAGAGACCCCAAATGCTATTATATCCCACCACTAAAAGTAGAGAATTTGGCACAACTATTTTTTTTTTTAAGATTTATTTGAGAGAGAGAGGGAGAGAGGGAGTGCAAGGGGGAGGGGCAGAGGGAGAGAAAATCTCCAGCAGACTCCTGCTGAGCTCAGAGCCCAATGCCGGGCTCGATCCCAGGACCCTGAGATCATGTGTGACCCCAGCTAAAATCAAGAGGCAGCCACTTAACTGACTGAGCCACCCAGGCATCCCGCACAACAATTTGAGTGATGAAGGGGTGGACCTTGGCAGAGACCGCTCACTGTCCTGATATCCATCTTCCTCTCATTAGTGAAAGAACACTCACAATTTAGCTGGGTACATGGTAAGAACTACATTTCCTCAGGTAAGGACTCCCATGGCAGCAAGAGTGGCCAGGTTACTAAGTTTGGCCCAATGGGCTGTAAGCAGAAAGGACGTGGATGACTTTTGGGTTGTGTCCTTCAAAGGAAGGGGGCGTATCTTCCACTTTCCCTTCTCTTCCCAAGTTGTCAGAAGGCAGGCATAGAGATGATAAGGAAAATTCTTAAGAGAGTTGAGGAGATAGCAGGAAATGGCCAACCGCTCTCCAAATATGTTCATTCTTCTTCCTGGGCACACCACTAGGCAACATTTCCTAGCCCCTCTTACAGTGATGCAGTAAGGTATGGGCATTCTGGCCAGTGGAATATGAGTGGAAGTGAGAGATACCAACCTCCAGGCTAGGGTCATAAAAACTTCCATGCATTCCCTCACACCCTTTCTTTCTCCTGGCATCTGCTGAGACTCCTGGAAGGCGTTAGATAGAAGGAGCCTTGGTATCTCAATAACTAGGTAGACCAAGATCATTCTTGCCTTCCCACACTAAACTGTGACGTGAGCAAGAAATAAACTTTTTTAAAAAATATTTTTATTTGTTTATTTGAGAGAGACAGAATAAGAGCTAGAGAGCACGAGAGGGAAGAGGATCAGAGGGAGAAGCAGACTCCCCACTGAGCAGGAAGCCCGACGTGGGACTCGATCCCGGGACTCCAGGATCATGACCTGAGCCGAAGGCAGTCGCTTAACCAACTGAGCCATCCAGGCGCCCAAGAAATAAACTTTTTATTAGCTTAAGCCACTGAGATTTGGGGATTGCCAGAGCAGTTAGTCTACCCAGCCTAACACAGTATTAATAGAGGGAAATTAAATAGACTAAAAAGGACTTTTGTGTACATCAGAAGGGAAAAGGTAATATTTAAGAGCAAAGTAGATTTTTTCTCTGAAATTGGAATGAAAGAATAGTTAACACTAAATCATATAATTCATTAATTTTGAAAAGAACTCAAGACCAAAGTATTGAAAATATTTTTTCTCTATTACTATAAATGAATTAGATGACTGCTTACTTAAAAACTGTCAAAATAAGGGGCACCTGGGTGGCTCAGTCAGTTGGGTATCCGGCTCTTGATTTCAACTCAGGTCATGATCTCAGGGTCATG